GAAGAAAAGTTGGAGGATGATTTTGACATTAATTATGAAGATTCTTCTAAAGACAATCAAAGTGATGATGAGCCTGCTTTGGGTCTTGATCCTAATTAGATGTTTTATTTTTAAGTGAGTTTATTTTAAATCTTGTATTCCAGTAATATTATCTTAAAATAAATCTTCAAATTCATAGTTGACATAATATTATGTTATTTTTTGTCATTATTTATAATTTTAAATTAATTTATTTTAATCGTTTTGAGGCTTACGCCTCGCCTCGCTTAGAAAAAACGTCTCGATTCCCAATTTCGCCTTTTAAAACCTTGAGCGCAGCATGCTTGTCAACACCATTCGTTGTTGAGAAACATGATGCTAACATAACTATCAAAGCCAACAACCATAATGTTACCCTGTTTCATTATTTAATATTTTTTCCTTATCCTAAAATCTTATTTCATGTATATCAAAATGACTATAATTATTGTAGCATATCTTCTACTAAGTATTTTTCATAATTACTACATATTTTGGTCTCTAGTTGGCATAATATATTGCAAAAAATAGCTAAAGAAGAGCAAGTCCATTACTATATGTAGCCGAGTGTATGGTAGCCATCAACAATAGAGCATATGTGCAGAAGTTTGTTAGATTTTACCCAACAAAATTTTCAAGGATATTTTATTTTATTTCAATTGCATTCTAAGATGCACGGACACGGACATGGCGACACGGACACGGCATTTTTTAAAAATATAGGACACGGGTGCGGCGTGGACACGGCATAATAATTTTTAATATAATATATAGAAATGAAGGTAATATTATATTAAAAATGGCAAGTAATATTAAATCAAAGTCATGATAACTTGTTTAGCTTGTAACATAAAGATGTTTAGTACAAAATGTCTAGTACAACCACAAAAATATAACCAAAAAACCATTTAGTACAACATGAAAGTTCAACTACTCAATAGAGTGAATGATAGAATTAGATTCAGAGGTTGGTCTTTGGCCTTCAATATCATCATCATTGAATATCATTTCTTTCAACTCTGGTTCATCTAAAGAAAGATTTACAACCTCCAATAATCTCATATCATCAAGGCACTCGAACTCATCTCCAACAATATCCCACATCTTGTTATCACCTGTCATATAAAGTGGGGTTTTCCTTGATAGAAGACGCAGCTCGTTGTGGAGTTATTTTATTCATTTTTATTGATTGAATAAATGAGCATGTGCTCCAATTTCTCTCACAACAAGAAGAGGATGATACTTGACCAAGAAGAAGGATGATATCTTCAGCTCATATTAAGAAAAAATCAAATATAACAAATTCAGACTGCTAGACTACTAGTAGACCAAACAGAAGGAATGATCTGATGTTCTTAAGATGAAGGAAGAAAAGGAAGTTATCAAATTCATATGGTAATTATCATAAGACATGAAATGGGTAAATAAAGTTTATTGAGAGGAATGCATTAATTTGTTTGACCAAATAAAAAGAAAATTAGACCATTTTCATGTCTAACTTTACAATTTGGTTTATAATGCACCTTATAAGTGTTATATAAGGGGTTGAAAAACAAGAACTAATGAGATTGTTTGTTTCAATGATATTTGTTAAATTATGTCATATTTCTAGCAGATCGAAGTAGTTTGTTTCAATTTATGACGTGAAAGGAATAACATAATACACAATGTGAGGAGTTGGGATTTGTTCTTAATTGACAAACAAAGTGATTAGATGGTCTAAAATAGATCAATAGCCAACTGAACAATCTACAACCTAGGGTTTAATTTAGGTAAAACAAGAATAATCGCATATCCTATAAACTAGGGTTTGATTTAGGTTTTTTTTCCAAAACCCAAAACAATCAAAGTAATTTCAGAAAAAATCAACATGCTCTTGTGAACACAAATCCATATGATAAATGAGAAAAAATTGAAAGAAATGACAAATGGCAAAAAAAAAATTCTAGGTCAAACTTACAGAGAAATGACGAATGACGAATGGCAGAAAAAACTAGATCCGGAATCTGGATCGGCTGCTCGGGACGGCCAGAAGCTCGCCTACTCGGGACAGCCAGAAGCTGAAGGCGACGGTGCGGGCTGGAGCCTCGATCGGCTGCGCGACTCCTCTGCTCGAGACGGCCAGAAGCTCGCCTGCTCGGACGGTCGGAAGCTCGCCTGCTCGGGACGGCCGGAAGCTTGCCTGGTCGGGACGGTCGGAACCTCGCCTGCTCGGGACGGCCGGAAGCTGAAGGTGACTCCTCTCAACGGTGCAGGCTGGAGCCTCGACTGCGCGACTCTCTCGATATCGCTCAAATGAATGAAACGCGGGATTAGGGCTATTTCCTGTGAACCGGCTTATTAGGTGTTTTTTTTTTCTTTTTTTTTATTTAAAATATGAAATAGCCGGACACGCGTGTCCGACGTAAGTTTTTTTTTTTACCCGGACACACCCAAAACGTGTCGGACACATGTCCGTGCCGTGTCGAACGTGTGTTCGTGTCCGACACGTGTCCGACACTGCATTGCCTCTTAAAATGGAGTGTCGGTGCATTATAGATTGCATTATATATGGCCCCACAAATAGAGAACCAATTTAAGGTTTTTAATGACACCTTTTAATGAATTTTAAATTATAGATATTAGTGACGTGATTTGTAAATCTCTTTACTTTATTTCATTACATATTGCTTTAGGTAGACGAGCCAACAAAGTCATCTCATGACGTCTTTAGTACTAACTATCGACCTCAAGAGTTGTTAAAATATCATCTCAATACACCAAAACCACTAACAATTCACCTTGTAAAGATCATTGTATATGATGCAAAATCATTCACCAAGCGAATAGGATGCTAATGATGGCCCCCACCATGTAACATTTTGTCCCAACAAGGGTTCAAAAGATGGAACTCATGGTGTAACACAATGTCATATGCATGGTATTTAATTCTCCTCTTTTGAACAACGCTTTGTTCTAAAAACACTTTTTTGTCACCAAGATGGCCTCCTATTCGAGCATAAAATATGAGAGGTAAGTACGACTGAGTCAATTGAGCCTAATACCAACACATTATGGCATCAGACCCAATAGAATAGATTGGTGATAAAATCTACCGACTTAACTATAATAATCATAATTTTTTTAAAAGCAAAAATATCATGAGTCCAAAATTTTCATATACAATTTTCACACCTCTTGATAAATGATTGAAACTATTTTTATAAAATTTTATGTTTTGTCAGAATCATAGTTGATATACTTCAAGACTTGTATGAAGGGAAATGATTTTGCAATAAAATTTTAGTTTGAGAATTTTTGTTTAAATTTGGATTGAGAAATTAAAGAATTATATAAATTAAAAATTTGTATTTCATAGATTGTTTATAGAAGAATAAAGTTTGATATGACAATAACAAGAAAGTTTATCTAGTGGTCAATCATCTATTATGTATTATAGTCGAATTATAATTCAGGAAGCATGTATGCTTTAGTATTTTGTATGTAAATTTATAACTATTTAAATTTGCATGAGAGCAAAGCACTGTAAAGTTTTCACGTTATAAAACACATGTCTATGTCCTACTCTTCATAATTAAATGATTACATATTAAATTTAGATTATGAGTAACACACCTTGAAGAATTATGAGTATACAAACATTTGATTTAATTGTTGTCATTAAGAACTTGGAAATCTTGTATTTGCATATTACAGTTGCTACACAATATTGAGTAATATGTTTATAAGAATTGATACATGCATTTAAATTTAAAAAAAATGAAAATGCAATCTGCTTAAGAAATGTCATGTTATATCAAATAGGTTGACAATGATAAATACATAAAAATACATACATCTAGTATGACTAAGGTGAGCCCTCATGGAGGAAAATAGTACTCATATTAATATGTTTAAATGATCTATATAAAGGACTTCTTCATTTTTTTACAAACATTCTCTAAACATAATTTAATAGCCAAAAAAAAAGAATTTTCCCTACAATTTGTCAATTGTCTATGTTTGTTGATCAATTCCCTCATTCAATAACCCTCAATCCAACATTCCTCCATATGCAACGGATAAATTGGACCCTAAATAGCATTCCAAACTAAATGTGATTAATATGATTGATATGCAAAGACATGTAAACCTGCCACCCATTTAACAAAGCAATATAAACTTATAAATATACCATTAGTAAAATGCTCGGGCAGACCTTTAACCATCTCTCCATATAAGGAGTATATCTACTTATATAAGGATCACATGTGGTAAGAAAAATATATCACATCCAAAAGAAACCCAGGAATTTTCAAATTTTCATCATTATTATATGCCGAGGAGGAAATGAATCCCGCCTTCCTTTATTGTAGAACATATCACGAAAGCACAACAAACAAACAAACAAACAAAATCTCAAAAAATTTCGATATTTTTAGCATTATTCAATAAAAACCATTAAATAGAAAGACAAGAATCAGCATGTACCTTCCTGCCAGGGTGAAAAGGGATTTCAGGCCCTCCCGTAACCTCAACAGCGATAACACCGGCCAACTGAAATCAATAGCAAAACTTTAGACCTCTAACCAACTGAACATAATAATTTAAAGCTGCCACAAAAGAAACAGCGCTGTCAACAAAATCTAATTTCTTCATAGAAACAAACCTGGTAAAAATCAGCATAGGAGAGAATGGGAAACTGCTCCTTGATCGGCTCCAACAACCTGATCGCAATATCGAGCCCGTTGTTGGCCCCATGACTTAACTCTTCCTTGTGCCTCATCGTTCCAAATGGGCCACCAGTTTTCGTCGCCACATCATAAGTCCCAGCCGAATGCCATCTGAACAGCATTTCCAAAACGAATTTAAGATGAGAAGAAAAAATTCATAAAAACCAGTGGACGATAAAGATATGGAGATCCTACGCCAGACGGAGCATGATCGGAGCGCAATTCTTCTCAGCAATAAGGCCCCGGAGCTTCCTCTTGCTTTTTTGCAAAGCCTGCTCGTACTCGGCGCTCACGGTGGGATACGACTTCGCCATTCTCGATCTACTGATCAACTACAAGCTGTGTGATCGAATCGTTTGATCGTTAGTTGAAAAAGCTAAAGGAGGGGTCATGGAACCCGTTAAACCCTACCTTTGAGAGGATAAAAACACGCTCAAACAACACAGCGCCACGACCAAACCACGCTCCTCTCCCGCTGTTCCGTGCCTTACCTTATACATCTATATATAGCGCTGGACGCCCTAAGGGAATTATCAAAATTTAATGTAGGCCGTCCATATGTTGCTCCGACGGTCATGATTTTCGTGGATTGGACGGGTGGGATTAAGAGTTGGAGACGATTTGCAGTTTAGGTGGGCATTACGAACTTTTTGTTTAAACCATGTATTTACTCATATGCCCTCAAACTTTGTCAGGTAATGAGTGGAGACCGATTGAATTCTTGAGGGTATAGCGGTCTATGTGCATGACGCAGGTGTGAATGCAATACACGTCGGATGATTCCCTCAATCTTGACCTAAATCTTGTTTAGAGGGGAATGTACAATTGACAATTTTGGTATGTAAATATTATTTTTTTTCATTTAATCTTTTTTTTTTCAAAATAAGTAAAGTCTATAGAGCATGGCTGGATTAAGTATATTTTCTAGAAAGTCTTCATAATCGATATAGGTGATTTAAAAAAATATATATTAAATTTTTTTTTATTTTTTAACTATTTGTTCATATAAAAATTAAATATATATATATATAATAATAAAGAATTTATAATTGATAATACCTACTTTTTATATTATAAAAGTATTGAACATGATGGTACATAAGAGTACAAATAAATTACACGATGCTACATATTATCAAAGAATTTCTCCAGCCTCAACAACAAATCATCAATAGCCGAAGGATCTATGGCTCCTCGAAATCAGAGAGGTTTCAATCTATAAAACACAGAACCATATATTATACTCTCTCTCTCTCTCTCTCTACGCAATATAATGCACCAAATTATTTGGCATATTCTCATTGCACTAAATAATTTGGAGCATTTTTAAATGCGTCGTTTAATTTAGCGTATTTGCTCATATTTAAATTTTTATTAATTAATGCTCCTACCAATTTTAATGCTTATCATGCTTCTTTATAAAATTTCTCCTCTCTAAAATAGCTACAATTGATGGTCTCTCTCACCCCCCTTCACACCTAACATTTCTCTCTAGGCTTCTCCCATCAACTATGCTACTAGCCTAGCAAACTGCATCATTGAATCTAGTGCTACTGCTTCTGTTGTACTATGGATCGTAGCAGCTCTAGAACTTTGCCCATCAACTATTTCAGGATCTTGAGGATCCATTTACAGCAACACTTCAAACTATTTTAAAAAAGGGATTCAATAACGACCTTAATGACTTACACAATCATATAGAAATTAATATTAACTATATAATATCTCTTATTTTATCCTTACAAATTATTTCCTACAACTATGGTAATGATTAAATTCCTCCCAACTGATACTCTAATACCACATTGTAATGCCCTAAGACCTGAAGAATGAATTAAAGCCTTTTTTTGCCTATTTGCATGCTAATATTCTAATAATTTATCAATTCACCGGAGTCAGCTCATCGCCCCAAAACCATAAAGAATACACATCTAGAGACTATATATGAGGATATTTCTTTCAAAATAATAAAATTACAATAGTCGTGATTACAATGATTGTAACAAAACTAAAATATAATATGAACTATAAAAGTATGTTTACATTTCCACAATTAGACCTCATGCTTCCTATCAAACTCAGGCTACTTAGCAGAACTCTTACTTTTGCTTGAAATATTATAAACAACAGGGTGAGTATGAAAATCAGCAGGCTATATTTTTTCCCTATAATAAAGTTCAATTCGTAGTTCAAAATGAAAAAATTAATATAACAAAAGTATCATTTACTTTACAGTTTTTGTATACTACCTTTCGTATAAAAATGAATGCATAATGTATATCTTAGTGCCCACTTATAACTCCTAACTTCCACCTTCAACCTTCCACCTTCCTGAAGTAGGTGCAGAGTATAGTCAAAATAGAGCATATCCATCTTAGAACCAGAATAGAATATAGTAATCCAACATAGATATATATCTACATTGCACCCAATTAGAGAGTTTTAGAGTATACTTATTTTTCTTCAGAATATAGCTCTAGAATATCATGAAATGTATAATAAAGCAAATGCAATATATAACTAAGAAATTCAATGCATGTATATAAATAAATGTCAAATTTATCAAAAGCCTAAAATTTCAAGTGCATATACAAAATGTTTAGAGCTTCACCAATTTCATAGAGGACATGTAAAATGACTTTATTTACTATACTAACTTTCAGATATGCCACCATTTTTTAGTATCGTCAGAAATTAATACATAACAAACTCAAGAAAAATATATTTAAAAACATATATTCTATAAAAACTTGAGAACTTGAATCATAAATAGGGTATGAGTTCCCTACCCCGAGCCCAATAATTAATTTTTTCAACTAGCTAGAATGACAATTTCTAAAGTTTGGCAAGTAAACCACTTCCATTTCCTTCTCTTTCCTTCCTAAAATTTCTTCTCTGGCAAGGGGGGTGAATGAATAGGGTTTCAAAATGGAATGATATATTTAAATATTTTTTAAAAATACTAATTTAGTGTTGCGATGCATGAAATCCCAACATCGCAACACCCATAAAGAATCTTCCATATTCTCTTAGGTCTAGACCCAGTGCTGCAATAGTGCTACACGATGCTATTGCGCACGACCATTTTTTTTTTTTTCATTTTTCGAATAGCTCCATCCGAGGCACCGTCAAGACAAACGTCGGAGCACCCGCAGGGGAAAATTCTGAAACTTGGTTTTTCACTCCTCACATCTCAAGCCTTGGTTATTTTTATCTCCTTCAATATTTTAATACTTATAATCACTATAAACTTAAAGTTAAAAATCATTAACGGGTAATTATACCTAAATCTTAAACAACATATATCACATTCACAACCCAATCTAATATGACTCACATATAAACAGATCGTACCGTGTTAAATTGGGACAAGCTAGCCCATGTTCTAAGTTTCTTGGAAACTTTTTGGGCATTCAACCTTATATTATTATTTCTATAATTCATTCATGTAAACATGAAGACTAATGTTAACCTAATAATTATTATTCATATTATAACATATAAAATATTAAAGAAGACTATATCAGGCTAAACATATAGGACAAGCTTGGGGTATACTAAAAATCATGCACATATATCACTACATGAAAATGCGTCAATAGCAACAAAAAAAAGGGGTCAATAGCAAAAAAAAATAAAAAATTTGGCCGCATAAAATATCTTTTTGCTACCAAAAGTAAGTAAGAACTTTAAATAATTAGAAAGCTTGATATTAGCTACAAAAAAAGGCTGCTAATTTTATTGCTAAAAGACTAGATAATTGTTTTTCATATATATATATATGTGTGTGTGTGTGTGTGTGTGTGTGTGTGTGTGTGTGTGTGTGTGTGTGTGTGTGTGTTGTGTGTTATTTTAGTGACTAATGATTTTTTTACTTGAATATATAATATATTTAAAAAATATCATTTACCTTTTATATAATGATAATTATTCTTAAATAAAATTTAGATTAAAGTATGGATGATTTATTTGCAAAAATGCTTAAAATGATGTAATTGATTAATCATTCAATTTCTACAAAATATTTATATTAAGCAAAATTATTTTGTATTATTTTATAAGAGAGATGTTTTATCATACTTAGGGCTTATTTTATTTAAAAGTTTGTGTTTGATATTTTTTTATATAAATTAATAATTTATATTTTATTTAAATAAAAATACTATTGATTCATTCTTTTATTTCAAAATAAAAACATACGCTATAAAATCTAGTTTCAAATAATAAAAATATGATATAAAAAAAGTTAAATTTTTATACAGCTTATTTTATAAATATAAAATATGATTTATAATTTTAACAGATCAAATGATGAATTCAAATTAATATGCACAAATCTAAGATGAGAGATCTAATAATTTATTTATAAAATATATTACAATATAAATTATTTAAATTTTAACAACCAATTATTTTAGAAAAAACTATACATTAGCAAAACCTATGCTTATGACGCTTGTGATCTCACCGTCTCACACACACAGGCTGGCTCTCGATTTTGCTAGCTACTAAGTTTTTCCTCGGTTTTGCTTTTTAGCAAAGACACTCCAACCGCTTAACCAACTCTCTGTTTAGCAACCACGACTCTACCTCTATCCTTCATGCACTAACATGAGTTCCCTCCCTCAACATTATTCAAGCAATCCCACAAACTCACCTCCATTAGTTTCTCCCTATCAAGTTATCTCTAATACCGTTTTCCACTTTCTCATTTCAAAAACTTTTATGATCTCCTTTATAGATTGATTGCCCCTCAATTTCATGGTATAATTCAACATTATTTATTGTTATAGTTGCTTTAAGAGGTTACAGTTGTACTCATAGGAATGTCGACAATAGCCTATGCTTATAATAGGAATGATTGGATAACCAATGAAATATAGGTTAAGAGTTACAAGAAGTTTTTGAATTGAAAAAAAACCATAAGGTGAGCTAGGGGTGTCAATATTTGACACGACCCAAAAACCCGACTCGAACCCGACACAAAAATTTCGGATTCGGGTCAACTCAAATCCGAAACGGGTCGGGTTCGGGTTGACCCGGAAACCCGGATTTGACCCGGTTCTGACCTGGAATACTGTAGTTTAGCGTATTTAGGGGATTTGGCCATTCGTGGTTACTTCACAGTGAACGAACTCCCGTCGTTGTTTCCGATCAAAATGTTGTAACTTCCAATCTAATTCGAAGGGAATGTCCTCCGTGGAGCGAAGCCGAAGAACAACGACGAAAAAGAGAAGATAAAGAAGTGAACCCTAGACGCCTCTGAGCGCACGAAACAGAGAAAGCTACCTTCACAGTTTCGTTGCACTCATTTGCAGCTCGGCTTTCTGAGGTGAGATGTGCCCCTGTTCGGTTCTATAAGCCTATAACTATGAGGGTTTTATAGATTCTGAAGTCCGAAGGCTGAAGCAATTGTTCATCGGAAAATGGTATTACCTTTATGTTTCTAAAATTTTATCATCTTTAATTTTTCTCTATGATTTTCCCAGAGCCTTTGTCCTGGCTAGGGTTTGCTTTTCCTTGTGAACTTGTCTTCTTCACCTTCTCCAACGATGTCGAATAGAAAGGGTTGAAGGAAGGTAACAATCTTTCTGTTTTGGTGCACTTCTTCTCCTAAATACTGTAAATCGGCTGGACTTTTGGATTTTATAAATTTGGAATTCAAGGCAAAAACATAGAAGCAAAGTTTGTAAAGAGATTTGTCATTTTGTAGGATTTATATTTCGTTTGGAACTGTTTTATCCGTTGTTCTTTGCCTTCTTTCATAAAATTTCATGAAAACTGCTATATCAAACTGCAAGAAAATTGTTTGGCTGGATTTCGGTCAAATTCTTCTTAAAAATCGCTATACCCAACAGCTTGGCGAGGCAGCGACGAACTCCCGTCCTTGCTTCGCTTCCGATTAAAATGTTGTAATTTCTAATCCGAGGAGAATAGAACGTCGTCCAAGAAGCTGAGCGAACTAGTGAAGTCGAACAGCGACGAAGGGGACTTAATTGGAGGGTCGGGTTCGGGTTGACCCGAACTAGAAGCGGGTCGAGTTCGGGTCCGATAAACCGACCCGTTTGCAAAAACCGGTCGGGTTGAATAGTACCGGGTCAGTTTCGGGTTGGACCCGAACCCGACCCGTGACCCGATTTTGACAGCCCTAAGGTGAGCGTCAATATTAACCAAATAGGTACATACAAATATTAATTAAGATAGACTTTTTTTCTTTTGATATTTCATGAATATTAGATCTTTATTCTCTTTCAGACTAGTTGAGGACTTGAGCTTGATGCCAAAGACCATGGACCATTTAATTTGTTAGCAGTTTTTTTAATAAAAAATGTGTTTATAGATTGTTCGAAATCGGGCTGAACTCGGCTAATTTGTTGTACTAGATATCTACCATCTTCCAAATAATAGTAGCAGGTTAATTATATTTTTCTTACATTCTTATGTTGAACAAAGATTGTCTAAATTTCAAAGTCAATCGAAAATCATAATAAGATTGTCTAAAATTTTGATGTTTGATTTGATAGACTTTTTCCTTTCGATATTTGACATTAATTCCCAAAATACTGAAATATCATCCAAATTTTAGATGCAATAGAGATATTATCAACATTGTTAGCAATGAACTTTTATTATCTTCTTCAAACTTGATATTTTTCCATTGACGTTGAATTTTTTGTTGTCTTAACAAAAAAAGTTTCAAATTAGATATGATTTGAAGTATATCATTTATGAATATTTAGCTAAATTTGAATAATTTTTTAAAAGGGATAGAAGATTAGTTATGTAATAATTATTTTTTATTGATAGTTTATTAGGTCAAAGCAATGGATAAAAATTGGATTAATCTCAACAATAGACGTTTGCGATAATATAAGGATAGAGTTAACTTCATTTATTAAATTTGCCCATAAAAATTATCCTCAAAGGAGAAGATTTGGTTCCCATGTCGATACTATGCAAATATCTTTTTTCACACTTATAGTATGGTTGAGAATCATTTACTAATTAATGGAATGCAAACATCATACATTGAGTGAACATATCATGAGGAAACCTCTCAAGCTTTCAATGATGCGGATTTAGGCAGAAAAGACGTGAATGATCTTAATAATGCAAATGAAAAGGTTGATGAGATGCAAGAAATCTTAGAGGATATGTATAGGGAAACTTTTATGAACTCTTGTCCCAACATTTCACCAAATGAGAAACTTGATAATATTATCAACAAAGATGAAATAATTATATTTGATATACTACTGAAGGATGCACAACAGATTTATATCTTGGTTTAGATTTATCTATGTTGTCTGCTCTGGTAAAGCTACTGCACATTAAAATATTTAATCATTGGACAAATCAATCATTCAACTTGATATTTGAATTCATAAAATATATCTTGCAAAAGGGTGAAACACTTCTGTCTTCATATTATGAATCAGAAAAGATTGTATCAGACCTTGGATTGAGATGTGAAAAGATTCATGCTTGTAAAAATGATAGTGCTTTATTTTAAAAACATTATAAGAATAAAGAATAAGATCTTGAGTGCATGGAATCAAGATGGAAAGTTAATGATATAAAAGGAAAGAAAATTCTTCATAAAATTCTACGCTATTTTCTCATTAAATCTCGATTACAACGGTTACTATGTCAAGAAAAACTACTCATGAAATGAGGTGGCATAAAGAAAATTAGTTTGGGGATGAAAATATATCAAGACATACAGTTGATTCTAAAGTTTGAAAGGAATTTGATATTAGCTTTCCTTAGTTTGTAGAAGATTCTCATAATATACGCCTTGAATTAGCTTCATATGGATCCAATCCTTTTGGTAATATGAATACTTCTTATAGCATGTTACCCATCATTCTTATGCCATATAATTTACCTCCTTGGAATAATATGTCATGTCATATAAGTTTATATTTATGACACTATTAATTCCTAGTCCAGCTGTTCCTGGGAAAGACATAGACATGTATTTAAAGCCCCCTATAGAAGAATTAAATGACTTATGGATGAATAGTATCAAAACTTATGAATATGTAAGTATGAATACTTACATATGTCATATTCGGCTAAAAATCCATAACTGTCATGTTCTGTTGCAACGAATCCTTCATTTAGGATGGTGTGGATATTTCAATAAGGATGTGCATAATCCTTTAAGTGATTTGTCAAGATTTTTTAGGATATTATGTGCTAAGATATTACGATTGGATTTATTGGAGAAATTAGAAGATATGATCATCAGTACAACTTGTCGACTTAAAATGATATTCCACCTAATTTGTTTGTTATAATGGTTCACTTAGCTGTTCGTTTGTCGCATGAGGCTAGACTTGCTGGACCTGTTCAGTATAGGTGGATGTATTGAATTGAAATGTTAGTTCTTCTGCTAGCAACTTTTACAAGAAAATAATGTTCATTTTATTTTTTGTAGTTTCTAGTGAAAAAAAAGCAGATCCAAATAGAGATGTGGCATTAGAGGAGTTTTATAGAACAAATGGTAAGATATCAATATTAATATTTTAAATTCATGCTGCCTTCTATGTACTAAAAATGATTTTCCAACATATGATATATTTTCAGGTCATAATGTACATGGTTATAAGGCTTGCCCAATATGTGACAGTGAAACTTCTTTACAATATTTGTGAATAAAATTTATTACATGGGTCACAAATGCTTTTTGCCTAAAGAGCACAAATGGAGAAAAAGTAGGAAGTTTAATGGCAAGCATGAAGTTAGAGTGAGACCTCAAGTTTTATCACGAGATGAAATAAGGATGTGAAGTTTAGAAAATATCCTAGCTTCAAAAAAAGAAAATATAACCTTCATGAATCAACTTAGACAAAAAGGTTTATTTTTTGAGTTGCCTTATTGGATAAGTCTCACGTTACATCATAATCTTTATGTAATACATATTAAAAAGAATATTTGTGCCAACATTTTGGGAACCTTGTTAAATATAGAAGGAATGAAAAAGTTACAAAGAAAGTTCGTTTGGATATATAAGATATGGACATAAGACATGAGCTACATTTGCATAAACAAGATAAAAATATTAGAAGGTTATACAACAAATATATCTAGATTAGTACATATTCAAAATGGTAAGCATATGCGGCTAAAAGCCATAACTATCGTGTTCTGTTGCAACGAATCCTTCATTTAGGATCGTGTGGATATTTCAATAAGGATGTGCATAATCCTTTTAAGTGATTTGTCAAGATTTTTTAGGATATTATGTGCTAAGATATTACGATTGGATTTATTGGAGAAATTAGAAGATATGATCATCAGTACAACTTGTCGACTTAAAATGATATTCCACCTAATTTCTTTGTTATAATGGTTCACTTTGTTGTTCATTTGTCGCATGAGGCTAGACTTGCTGGACCTGTTCAATATAGGTGGATGTATTGAATTGAAATGTTAGTTCTTCTGCTAGCAACTTTTACTTTTTATATATTTTTATTAATTATTTGCAAAAATTTTGATTAATTTTTTTTTACATGCTAAAAATCAAAGTGTTCATAAAGGGAATGTTAGGAACAAAGCTCACCCTAAAGGACCAATTGTAAGAGCTTATATTGTTAATGAGGCATTAACATTTTGTTCTATAGACATCCGTGGCATAAAGAGTAAAAATAATCAAGATAAAGAATATAATGATGATGTTCATTTGCATGAAAATCAACTTTAATTTTCTCATGAAGTATTCATCCATTTGATCAACCACTCTTCACTACATTATCTTGGAGTGAGTACAATTTAGTTCAATGGTATATTCTTACAAATTGCAAAGAGCTAAAGCCATACCTTAAGTATGTAATTAACAAAAATGCTGATGATATTAAATTTTATTAAAAAAAATTTTATTGACCTACAATTAAATTTCATAAAAAAAATATGTGTTAGTGAACATGAGAATGAGCTAAGAAAAGAAGATTCAATTATTCAAAATGTGACAACAAAGTAAAAGAGAATAGTTTTCATTACAGTTTGAACAAAGAGCGGGATACTCAATTTCCTAATTTTGTTTATTGTTTATATTTATAATTTTTTTTCTTATGTTTACAATTTCACAAAAATTCATTACTAACTTGCTTCTAGATGAAGAGCATGAATCTTCATGGATCACCAGAAGGTAATGAATATCTTTATTCTTTAGCAATGGGTCTAGATATTCATATCAATGTATATTCAAGGTGCATTGTTAATGGAGTTAAGTTTCTAGTCAACTAATGTGACATTCGGAGGGTAACCCAAAATAGTGTTGTATCAATTTAGGATTCTCATAAAGATGAAAGTATTAATTTCTATGGGGTTTTAATTGACGTAGTTGATTTGAGCTATATTGATGGAAATCATGTAGTATTATTCAAGTGTAAATGATTTGATCTTGAGCATAAAAAGCCCATTGTAATTGACAATGATTTCACATCTATAAATATAAGTAAAACTTGGTATGATAATGATCATGTATTAGCATGTCAAGTTATTCAAGTATTTTATGTTTAAGATACAAAGTTAAGAGGTGATTGGCATGTTGTAGGGAAAGTATACCATAGGCATTTATTTGATCAAATCCTCATAAATTACTTGAATGAATATTAACTTAACACTAATCAGCTAACTGAAAATATGGCTTATCAATAAGATGAGCAAAATGATATGAACTTTCAAAATGATTTTGGTGAGATTGGCTCCTTACATAGGGAATATTTAGAGCCACAAATTTTAGATTATGTAAAAAATGTGCATGTACAACCAACTCAGACTACTGATTTTATATGTAATGAAGATGAAGAAAAGGAATATGATATAACATTAGCTGAATATTGTACTAAAGATGATGGTAATGTACATATCAATATGGATAGTGATAAAGACTAGGTTGTTCTTTCAACTTATTTGTTTCATATATCATAATAAAATGGTATCTTAACTTTTCGATAAATTTTTTGTTGTTGTTTCACTTTACAGTAAATCACCTCTTGGCTCTGGGAAAATAGATAAGCTCTAGAATAATTACAAATTTCTCACATTTGTTGCCACCGTTAACTAGTAATAATGTGCAATCTATATTAAAAAATGATTCTTCACATGTTTCTACTACTAATAATGATAAGTTAGTATTTTTCTAACTTATTAGATTAAATTCCTTTTAATATTTTTCGCTCCTACAAGCTTAAACTCTATCCTTTGATAAATACAATTTCTTTTGTAATAGATACTCTTATGTCTAACTATTTACATGTATCAATTGAAGGAGATTACAGGAGAAGCATCTCCAACATCTTATAGCTCAGGTTTACCTCATCCATCAACACTAAAGAATGAGGAAACTATCACAGGTATTATTACTTATTGTTTGTTCTAATTTAATAATTATAATCAATATAAATGATTTTTTTATTTAATATTGAAAAAATGTTCATTTTATTTTTTTGTAGTTTCTAGTGAAAAAAAAAGCAGATCCAAATAGAGATGTGCCATTATAGAAGTTTTATAGAACAAATGGTAAGATATCAATAACCCCCCCCAAACACACACACACACAAAAATAAAATGTTATATATTTCTTTATCCAATCACCATCAAGTAAAGTAGAAAGAGAGGCTTCCTTACCAAGCAAATAATTAAATTGTCAAAGTTTTATCGTTGCATACAAATACTATTAGAGCAAAACTTTGCATATACAATTACATTCTTTATGTTTATTTACATATATTTGAAAGTATGTTGTCCTATGAAATCAATGCATTTCCTTTTTTTCAATATTTTTACTAAATTTCATTAAAACAATACATAAGTTTTAATTGAATTCTTTGAGTAAATATTTGAAACTTTATTTTAAAGAAACTCGAGTAATTTTAGCTGAAATTATATTAAAATGATCGAATTTGAAACTCGCTTGAATTAGATGGAATGAAGTTATTTTAAACAATATGGTGTAAATTTTAGCCCTCGACCCAAACGATCTGCTTCTTTTTCCTCTGTGTCTCTCTCACAACTCGTGACACGACCTTGTGCACGGCCTTCGTTTTTCCTTTCGCTCATTTCTCGCCCTCAAATGGAGACCGCCCAACGCAAATATTTATGTCTTATAAGCTCTAAAGGCCATGTTAATACTTACATTCTAAATTTTGATCTTACTGTCCTCTTGACTCTAATAATGAGATGGTTCCTCTTGACTCTAATAATGAGACAGCAAATAAAACTATTTTATTGTAGGTTGATCATGGTATTTTTTATATATATTTTAATATATCACGTCTTCTAACTTCTCCAACAATCTCTTTCATCTTCTCCATCATTACACAACAAAAGAACCAAAGAAAAGTCCTCTTATGGTTGGGAATCACTCCAAACCGTAAGTGTTACTTTAGGTTTTCACCCAATAAACATTCCTACTTTCATCTACTTTCCCTCCACTTCTACCCATAACCCTTCCCCACATCAAACTTATTTATATAATCCCTTGGTCAATCCCTCATTACCCTTATCTTCGACTCGTACAAACCATAAAAACTATAATGTCACTGTTTCACTTTCAATTATCTCATAAATGCTAGTAAATGATTCAAGTTTATTATAGTGAACAGACATGTTGAGCCCTTCCTAAAATCAATTCCTGAAAAATAGCTCCAAAGGTGATATTGAACCTATGCCATCAATTATTTGGAGAATATTATTTTTTTTTCATAATGGTAATAAACTAATAAGATTTAATAGGATGATGGGCAAAAATGAAGCTCATTGTAGTCCAAAAAAATACTATAACAATTTTGTAAAAGGGATTTCCTGTCCAATAAGCAAACATCATTGAAACTCACTTTATGAACTCAGTTTTTACAATTTTAAATTATTTACATCACAACAAATGTCAAGATGTTGAAATCGATGTTTATTTAACTCTATTGTCTATAATGTCATATTTTCGACTTTTAGCTTATGCAAATGCCTTTGCAAATCTGACTTTGTTTTAAAACTAGCTTTTAGTGGCATGGTAATTGTTTAACATGAATATGTTTTGGTTGGTTCTTCATTGCCTTGCTTTCTTTCATATTGCTCATAACATAGGCTAAGTTAACTACATGACATTTAAATCAAAGTTTTTAAGTGTTTCAAATTTTATGCTTCAAAAGTTTTACTTTAGAGCATTAGAACTACAAGATGCATAGTAGTTTCTTGTATTCAAGTGAAGAAGATTGAAGGGAATTTGAAGATTAATGCTACCCAATCAAAGAGATGGATTGTGAACTTACTATTGACTTTTTTGATTTCGAAAGTTTGAGATTCAGCAGCTGAAAGAGAGATCAATTCTTTGGGATCCTTTCTGGATTAGTTTAATATTTTTAAATTTGGAGTGAATTGTTAGTTCTTATAGACATACTCAATTTAACGATTTTTTTAGACATTTTTTGTACAAACAGATTTGCTATTTTTTGATATTTCTACTTTAGTTTCATCTACCCAATTCGTCTACATGTTTGCTAAATATTTGTTGATTCTTACTAGATATCATGTTTTCTGATGATTTGGTTTCAATAAAGGATTTTATACAAGTGTACATATCTGCCTATTATGTTTGTCAGCATCTTGAAGAGGTGAAATTAAGTTTGTCTAAAGTATATTGAAGAAATTATTTGATATATTTTTTTTTTCGGTAATAAGATTGCATGCAAAACTTTTTTAGGTAAATATTAATTTATCCATTGAAGAATAACATGTATAGGATTGCGTGATGCACACAATGAGCAAGCGATTTTTTAATTTTTGCTCAAAGGCTTATGTACAGTATAAAAAATTTGGAGGTGGAATGTTAGCAAGGAAAAAGCCTTACAAAGAGCTTATTGAGAGACCAGATAATTGAATTTGGTTATATAATTTTTGACCCAAAGATATTTAATGTATGCCTTTAATTTAAAAGAAACTATAGGTTTGCTAATTTACTTATGTTCTTACTAGCGGCAGATGAAAATTATTAAGATAATATGACCAAAATGAGATTGACACATATATAAAAGACATCAATGTTAAAATGATTAAATTTCAAGCAGATGAATATCAAAGTTTGTCGCTACTCATTTTTTTATTTGTTATATTATGTTGAATCAATTTTTTTCAATAAAAATAATATCGGAATCAAACTGTCAGAGACGTTCGATGTTGAAGTTCGTTTACCGCATGGACACCAAATCACTCGTAGCACATATGTATGATCATATATCTATAATTTTTTAATTGTTTAAATTTTAAAAATGATTAATGTGTGAGACATTTTCTTATGATGCGTAAATTAAGCAAAATTAAATTATACAATGAAGAGTTTACAGACAAAGGAAAGAAATTGGTTTATGTATATTATTCGGCAAAACATGCTAGTATAAATGAAATTTATTAGAATATCTTTATTAGTAATATTTCATCATTTATGGGTTAATTTTTCTTAAAACATGCAACAAGATGATGGAAATTCACTAGAAAATTATTGACGAGGGAGAAATAGTTGATGAGACAATAATTTGTGAAGAAGTTTTAGGTGAAACATCTTCACATATTCGTGGCCTTGATTGGGTCAAAGACGATGAAAGAAAACTAAATTTATCTGATCAAATGTGTTGTCCTAGAGAGAGGTCGAGCTTGAATCAAATTTAAAAGTTATACAAGAAAAATATGAGAAACATAGTAAGATCATTAAATCTTAAAAAAAAAATTATAAATTGGTTAAAAATGGTAGTAGAAAAGATGGCCATGCAACCCCCTAATGATGATGGTAAGTATTTAGAACAAGCACATTAAGGTTGACTTAATAAGATTAAAAATTTGTTTAACTAATATTATAAATTTCTTCTTGTAGGTATAGACTTCGCAAATGAAGAAAATTATAATTAGAGATCTGATTTATTTGTATGTTTTGATACTAAAATGTTCTCAAGTCTCTTTTTGTTTGTCTTTGTAGAATTTGTTGCCTCTTTTTATGGACTTCTCAAGTTTGAACTACCAGTTACTTAATGTACTTGATAAAGAGTCATACTTGGTTACTTGTTTGAATAATCAAACTGTTAGCATGTTCAGTTTATGGAAATTGTAATTGAGTAAAAACTCTGGCTTGGCTGAAGACTATCGAGCATAACAAGATGAATAACAGAGAGAAGATCAATAATAACAAATTATCAACCGAACAAAACATTCAAGTAAATATATTCCTTTATTTTGTTCTAAATTTCATGAGTATTGACATATGCTCATCTTTTCCTTCAAGCACAAATGATTGTTTCTCTTTAATTTTGTTACCTCTATGTAATAAAATTATTGTTATTTTTTATATTATGAAAGCTATATCTAATTAATGATAATAATTAGATACTACAATATCAATGAGTGATTGATTAATCTTCAATGTTGTAGTCAATGCATAATATTTGGATAAGAAATAAATTTTACTAAATATCATTAAAAAAAACATATATATAGCGTGTGATTTATTTTGTTGATTATTATGTGACCAACTTTCATTTTGGTAGCTATAGGAAAAATGTAACAAATAAATTAAAAATTATAATCACTAAATAGCATCCCAATAAATACTTATTAGAGTAAGAAAATGGTCGCTAATATGTACAATTTTAGCGACCAACTTTAATTAGTGGCCACTAATATAGCAACAACAAAAAAATAATGGCTAAAAGCCTCAGCGACGAGGCTACTTCGACAAATCAGCGACCCAATTATTTTTGGTCGCTATTCGCTTTAGCCGCCAAATTATAATTTTTAGTGACCAATTTTGATGATCGCTAATAACAATTTTTCTTGTAGTGTATTTAGGTTAATTTTATTGCATGTAAGGAGAGTTTATGTGTCAGAAACCAATCTAATTCTACATGTGAATGCATAGCACATATTAATATTCATAAAATATAATTATGAATTGATTTTAGGATGTACTGAGGATTTTACAAACCTAGTATTAATGATATGTGATTACATGATTTTAGAGATCGGGTGGAGATAGGCTAATCCAGATTGATTGATTTAGGTATTTTGCTTTTAAAACGTGTCAAGTGAAGACTTGAATCAGCTGGAGCTTCTCTTGAACTTTGAACCTGCAGGGAAAGATAAGAAAAACAGGAAGAAGAAGATAGGTAACAGGGAGTGTTTTTCATTGACTGCTTGTACCGAAAACCCTGTTACAAGATATATCAAAACTCACTCAACCTAAGCCGTTTGATTAAGCAGTTGTAAAGTAGAGGTGAGGATTAAAAAGGTACAAGCATAAGTATGACAAGTCAGAGTAGTGGCTGCACAAACAGCTAAAGCAGGATAAGTGCTAAAGCATATCAGTTCTGCTTATCATCAAGCAATATACCTTGGTGTTTTCTTAATTTAAAATGCTTGATATGGTTCCACATATTGAGCTTGTTTCTTGTGAACCACACATTATCATTATTTTTAGGGGCTGTTAGGTAAGAAGCAAGATTTAACATTGGCAGGATTTAGTAAATCCTATTAATATCGGTTTATTAAGGCT